TAGGAAGGGGAGGGGTGCGTGGCCCCCTCCTGCCTCCTTCCCTCTTCTCCCTCGAGGCCCATGTAGGCCCAATAACCCCCCGGGGGGTTCCAGTAACCTCCCGGTACTCCGGTAAAATGCCGATTTCACCCGGAACGATTCCGATGTCCAAATATAGGCTTCCAATATATCGATCTTTATGTCTCGACCATTTCGAGACTCCTCGTTACGTCCGTGATCACATCCGGGACTCCGAACAAACTTCGGTACATCAAAACTTATAAACTCATAATAAAACTGTCATCGAAATGTTAAGCGTGCGGACCCTACGGGTTCGAGAACTATGTAGACATGACCTAGAACTATTCTCGGTCAATAACCAATAGAGGAACCTGGATGCCCATATTGGTTCCTACATATTCTACGAAGATCTTTATCGGTCAAACCGCATAACAACATACGTTGTTCCCTTTGTCATCAGTATGTTACTTGCCCGAGATTTGATCGTCGGTATCCAATACTTAGTTCAATCTCGTTACCGGCAAGTCTCTTTACTCGTTATGTAATACATCATCTCACAACTAACTCATTAGTTGTAATGCTTGCAAGGCTTATAGTGATGTGCATTACCGAGAGGGCCCAGAGATACCTCTCCGACAATCGGAGTGACAAAACCTAATCTCGAAATACGCCAACCCAACATGTACCTTTGGAGACACCTGTAGTACTCCTTTATAATCACCCAGTTACGTTGTGACGTTTGGTAGCACCCAAAGTGTTCCTCCGGTAAACGGGAGTTGCATAATCTCATAGTTATAGGAACATGTATAAGTCATGAAGAAAGCAATAGCAACATACTAAACGATCAAGTGCTAGGCTAACTGAATGGGTCATGTCAATCACATCATTCTCCTAATGATGTGATCCCGTTAATCAAATGACAACACATGTCTATGGTTAGGAAACATAACCATCTTTGATTAATGAGCTAGTCAAGTAGAGGCATACTAGTGACTATATGTTTGTCTATGTATTCACACATGTATCATGTTTCCGGTTAATACAATTCTAGCATGAATAATAAACATTTATCATGAAATAAGGAAATAAATAATAACTTTATTATTGCCTCTAGGGCATATTTCCTTCACTACCTCCTTGGAGGTGTCGTCTTGGAGGCGCAAACGACGGCTTTCTGTTGTTGTGTGTGGTTGAGGGTGGTGCGTTTGGTGGCCGTGGTGGTGCACCCAGCTTGGGGTTGACGGTGGTGTGTTCTTCATCTGTTTCTCTTTGGCTGCCCTTCGCGTGGTCTCCTCCTGTTGTTGTGTATGCTCAAGATCCTCCCTTTGGTTGTCATTGAGTTGTTGCAAGCTTCGGGCTCCTGGTGTCGTTTGGGTTCACCTTTGCTCAATGGCGACACAATGATGCCTCCCCAACTTGTTAATCATTCTGGTCTGTCATGGTGGAGGTCCTAGTCAAGGTTCGTGTTATGGTTTGGCACTCGTTGATTGTGGATGTTCCTCTGTTGTGCCATGGGGTTTGGCACATATGCCGATGCAGTGCATTCGGTTGTTTGTAGAGTCTTGGTATTGTGATCCCTCGGCAGCACCCCTCGTCTACTTTGGCCTCTCGTGGTGATGGTCGTCAATATGCTAGCTATGTCGTGACATTTCTTCTCTTCTTTAATTTTGTTGTACGGTTTTTGCCCGGTTTCCCTAGTAAACGAGGTCAACTTGTTAAGGTTTTCAATCTGATTTTAGCTAAAGCCCAAGGGGTGACTCTCGGCTTTGGCCGCTTTTTAAGCAATATATTCAGGTGGAAGAACTCTCCCCCAGTGATTCTCAAAAACAAATCAGACAAATCTCATGGAAATAACTTTGTAGGAGTACAATAATAGTCTTTAGAAATTTGATCCTATGTAGACCCCTGTTGATTTTGCAGGGATAGAAACAATAGGAATCTAGAAATCTAGAAAAGAAAACTCTATTTCAGTTAATGAAAATTTGAAGGAGGTAGTGCTAATTTCCTGTAGCTTCATGGAATCGCCGTCGAGTGAGATTCTGGGTGCACACAAGTGTAGAATACCTACTTCTTCAGGTTCTGCCAATACCAAATGTCATAGCCCCATCCTGCCGGTATTTTGTTGGTATGCAAACTCATTCCTCATGTATACGGTATACCTACTACTAAAGGGATTAGTGCTTCTGTCCGTCCGTCACGAAATTGCCTGCAAACTTGTAAATACTACCCGTCGATGCCATCTATAAGTTTTTTTAGGGATATGCAACCTATAAGTGACACACAAAAAAAAACGTTTCGCACAGGGAAATCAACCACCTGGACCGGCCCATGCAGTAGGAACATCCTATACGGCGCTCTCCTCGCTAGGAGAAGACGCATTGCGTCCGTTTGGGCCGACCCATGTGTGGGCAGCCTGTTTTTCAATTTGGTTTTCTATTTTTCTTTTCGGTATTTGTTTTTTTCTACTTTAAACAAAATGGGATTTCAAACAGCATCCCAAATTTAAAAAAATAAGATCTTTCTAATAAAATGTTCAATAAAACAAAAAAAATTGTGGATTCAAAAACTGTTCGTTATTTTGAAAAAAAAATCACAATTTTGAGCAAAAAAAGTTCAGGATTTTGAAAAACAATTGTGTATTAAAAAATATTAATTTTGAACAAACTTTTCGCCAATTCAAGAAAATTCGTGAATTTAAAAAAAATCCTAAAAATCAAAAGCTATTGATGAATTACAAAATAGTTTATTGATTCATAAATATTCGCGTATTCAAAAAGTGATCATGCATTTCAAAAAATGTTTGTTAAATCAAAAAAATCTTAGTGAATTTTTAAAATTGTTCCACCAATTTTCAGAAAAATGTTCGTCAATTATAAAATTGATCCCCGATTCAAAAAAAATAGTTAAAAAATGTTCACAGGTTTATAAAAATATTTGCATATAGTATTAAATGTTTATGAATTCAAAAAATGTTCATGATTTAAAAATAGGCGCAAATTTGTAAAAATATTCACGAATTTAAAATTGTTCACGATCTCAAATATGTCATGAGTTTAAAAAATGTTTATGATTATGAGAATTTGTTCAGGATTACACGAAAATATTCACAAATTTGAAAAGATGTTCACAAAAAAAACAGAAAAGAAAGACAAAAAAGAAAAAACTAGTGACCTTCCCAAAACCGATGAGGAAGAAAGCAGAAAATGGGCCGGCCCAAAACTGGGTCCAAGGCAGGAAGGAGTACACTCTAGGTCGCTACGCGCCAAATAGGAAACCTGCATGCAATAGCGGCTTGAAAAATACGTTTTAGACAGGGGGATCCCCCCACCTAGGCCGTCTACGTTTGGGAACCGCCCCACCTGGGCCAGCACATGCAATGAGAAAGAGAGTGATAGTGTATCTGAGTAATGCAGCAAAATGTTGTCATAACCATTGAAAATTGTGATTTTTTTTCTCCTGTTGGAACGCACAGGCCCTTTTACTAGTAACAATCTATATGTGCAGACTATACCTTTTGCACGCCGGACTAAAGCTCGGTCAGGGAGACAGGGACAGAGGCAAAACAGTGATGAATCAATCAACTATCAGTTGCATCAATCTGTTCCAAATCAAACACACTTCAGAGCACATCTGAAATGCCAAGACTAGTTAAGGTTAAGATGAAGAAGGTGCAGATGCAGTCCCCATCCATTCATTCCAGCCTAGAAAGAGCTTAGATCAGACCTGGAAATGGCTAAACTTAGTTCAGCTTCATGCCGGTCTGAAATAATATTCCAGAAGGCTAAGCTAAAATCACATTTCTTTCTGAAACCATTCTTCTTACGAGTCAAAAACCAGAGAGAAAAGAGAGCACCAGCAGAAACCACAGAGCTAAGAACGACAACTGTAGGAGGCCGCAACAGAGTTAAGAATGCCAACAGAGTTAAGAATTAAGATGCACTAGAACAACAAATGAATACTCCACGAATAATCACACGGCAAGACAAAAAAAAGAAAAAGAAGTGTTAACCCTGCAAACCAGTTGTTTCCCTCACTCCCATTGAACCCCAACTTCTAGAGAAAAAAAATGCGGGCAACAGAGGACTAGAGAGTTCTCCCACCCAGCCGCACATAGAACATTAGTGTAAAAGTACACGTTTTTTCCTTCTGGAATAATCGGCCTGAAGAAAAAATGTACAGTTTTTCATAGCAAGCATCAAGTAATGAACCGTTGACCTGCTGTAGCTCGCAATGCACAAAAAATGAAACTAGTTACCAACCAAACTGTTCTCTCTAGTTACTGAAACCTCCGTATGTATGTATAATATAACCTAGGTTTGTTTGGCAAAAATGACAAGACTAACTCATGTCACTTTTATTGGTTTAGTTTTGATGATCAATGACAGATGTAAATGATGGAACTAATTCAAATAGATCAACTTTTCAAGATTGAAAGTTTCCATAGCAGAAGTAAAATTCAGTTACAGGATTTAGGAACAAAGATAATTGATCTTAGAAGGATAAGGGAAAGAAATCAAAAGGCATAAAAGGTACCCAACAGAAACATATTTTCTAAGCACAATTTAGATATAAAATACTGAACTTACAACGGTGGAAAGCAAAAGACAATGAAAAGGAAATGGAAACAGAGAAGCTGGAATGAACGGAAACCATACTGATATACATAGTGCAAAATGATGCAGGACAATTCTATTGCTTTATTTCATTGTCCTATACGGAAGTTGGAAACACATAATATATCCATTGACCCTCATTTTTCAGAGATCGTAGGCAATGCTTTCTTGTCTACTGAATGACAACACCTCGGGGTTCAGGAATTAAATTATCAGTTTCATTAGTCATTAACAATGACCAAACCAGTATGTGCCAGTGGCAGAGATACTACAACAGAAAACCAACATCCATTTAGGACGAAGAAAATACTAATGTGAATTACCAGCTTATAGTGAAAACTCTGCCATGTCATACAAAGTTACCAATTTTCATTGCCCGTTCTTGGCTCATGTGAATTTGAAATTAGCTGGCACTTCCCCGCTGTGTGCAGCATCATAGTCTTCAGCGAGGTGTGGCGCAGCCTCCTTGTAAGGGCATATGTACCTCTGAACAAATACCTTCTCGACATGACTGAAAACTGAATAGTAGTCCCGCTCGCGAGCTAGCAATCCATTTGCCTTAAGAAACTTTACAACATAGTACCGGGGCCTGAGCCGGCCATCCAAGCTATAATTGAGCATTGCTGGTCGTTGAGCAATGTACTCCGGTTCCAACCCGACCTCAGAGATAAGGAACTCTGATTTGCTCTGCAGTGCATCCTTAGAACGCCTCAGCAGCGATGGAGCCCTAGACAAAGCAATGCCCACCTCAGCATCTGACCACCTGAACGTCTTCTTGAGGTAGTCCACTTTGGTGGCGATCTTCTCCTCACTTAGGAACGAGACGGCATCCAGCACGTGCTTGAACATTGCAGAGCCACGGGGCACACCAAGGCCTTCGGCGCACTCCACCATAGCCTGGATGCTTTCCAGGCTGGTGTTGAGCATCCTCGGTGCGTAGCGGCACAGCTTGGCAATATCACAAGCACCTAGCCCGCACTCCTGCAGGAGCGCGACGTTTGGCTTGATCGTCCTCTCGATGTCGACGCCGATGAGGTAGAAACTGCGGCTCAGAGCCCGGAGGAGGTTCTCGGGGGAGCCGAAGAGGGGCAGGTAGTACTGCAGCTTGGGGACGATGGCTCTGCAGCGGAAATGGCCGCCGCCGGACGTGAGCGAGATGAGCCGCTTGATGTCGTTACGCGAGAGGCCGAGGCCGGTTAGCTCGTCGACGTTACGGGCCAGGATCTTCTCCACGCTGGCGCAGAGTAACTGCGGGTCCTTTGCGACGACGGCGGCGACATCGGCGCCGGAGAGGCCGAGGCCAGCGAGGAAGGAGCGGACGGCGTCGGGATTAGCGGGGGACTTGAGGTGGGAGAGCTTGGGGATGGCCTTGACGGCCTGCGGGCGGGTGAGGCCGCAGGTGGAGACGAGGTACTCCTCCACGGCGAAGCTACTAGGGTCTTCTGGGGAAACGGCGGGCGCGGCCGCGGCCGCGGAGAGCAGTCGGTGGATGGAGGCGGCGGGCGAGGCGGAGGGGTACGAGAGGATACGAGCGAGGATGCAGCTACGGAGGCGCAGCATGGCGGCGCGACGTCGCGGCGGCGCCGGCGGCGGCGGAAGGGCTTGTGCTGGAGGAGATGGGTGAAGTGGTCTGGTTCGACCTGGATGCTGACCAAGTGACCCCACTTGTCAGTCTCGCTCGTCTGACGATGAGATGGGCTGGGCTCGGCTGGGCTGGGCTGCAGCAACTCGTACAGTGAAGAGTTTACAGTGGAGTTTTCTTTTTCTTCTCAAAGTAATTGAACTTTTCACTACTCTCAAAAAAATTGTAATTGTCTCCAAAATATGTAACTGAGCTTTTATCTTCCTTTTTATCTGTGATGACTTCACTAATAAGGTAAAAAAGCATACCGCCCGACCACAAGTAGTAAATCTAGCACTGTTTCGATCGCGCAAACTGCAAGCAGTTTCCCTTTCCCAGTTTGTCGGATCTGAGCCCGTTTGTCGAATGGGCTAGCGACGGCGCGAAACAATTCCCTTTCCCAGTTAAGGAAAATGAGCGCTAAACATGGCGCCCAACGTTTATGAAGTGTTAATGTTTCATTGGTCGGGTCGACCCCAGCCCCGTTTATTTACTCTCATCGGTTTATAGTGTCACGTTGTATATATATCTCTACTTCTAATGAAGGAGTTGGTAGCTTGGTACGGTTTATGTTCGTCCGGTTTTTTTTCGTCTCACCTCCCACCAGCCCCACAAACTGGTTTTTCGTCTCCTTCGCATTAAAAACCCGAATCTTATTAAAGAGAAAATCTTGTTCCGTGCTTACTTTGACAAGTTCTGATTCATTTCAATCACGTAAATAATAGGTAATTAAGAATTCATAACTCAAACCATATATGTGAGATCACCTTCCTAAATTATAGACGTAACTTTTCCTTGATAACCGTCCAAAACAAAATGAGATATTCCTCAATACCAAATCATTAATCATGTGCATTATGTTATTTATTATTATTATTATTATTATTATTATCTCCACTATTAATTGGCTATCACAAGTTTCGTAATCTTTACTCCTGATGGAGGAGCTGGTAGCCTGGTACGGTTTATTTTTGTCCGGTTTTTCTTCGTCTCACTTCCCACCAGCCCCACCTACTGGTTTTTCGTCTCCTTCACATTAAAAACCCGAATCTTGTTAAAGAGAAAATCTTGTTCTGTTCTTAGTTCGGCAAGTTCTGATTTATTTCAATCATGAAAATAATAGGTAATTAAGAATTCATAACTCACATCATATATGTGAGGTCACCTTCCTAGATTATAGACATGATTTTTCCTCGATAACCTTCCAAAACAAAATGAGATATTCCTCAATAACAAATCATTAATCTTGTGCATTATGTTATTTTTATTATTATTATTATTATTATTATTATTATTATTATTATTATTATTATTATTATTATTATCATCATCTCCACTATTAATTGGCCATCACAAGTTTCGTAATCTTTACTCCCAATGGAGGACTTGGTAGCCTTGTACGGTTTATTTTCGTTCGGTTTTTCTTCGTCTCACCTCCCACCAGCCCCACCAACTGGTTTTTCGTCTCCTTTACATTAAAAACCCGAATCTTGTTAAAGAGAAAATCTTGTTCCGTTCTTAGTTCGACAAGTTCTGATTCATTTCAATCACGTAAATAATAGGTAATTAAGAATTCATAACTCACACCATATATGTGAGGTTACCTTCCTAAATTGTAGACGTAATTTTTCCTCGATAACCTTCCAAAACAAAATGAGATATTCCTCATTAACAAATCATTAATCATGTGCATTATTATTATTATTATTATTATTATTATTATTATTATTATTATTATTATTATTATTATTATTATTATTATTATTATTATTATTATTATTATTATTATTATTATTATTATTATTATTATCTCCACTATTATTTGGCTATCACAAGTTCCGTAATCTCTACTCCTAATGGAGGAGTTGGTAGCCTGGTACGGTTTATTTTCGTCCGGTTTTCTTCGTCTCACCTTCCACCAGCCCCCCAACTGGTTTTTCGTCTCCTTCACATTAAAACCCTGAATCTTATTAAAACTGAATGCTTTAGAGAAGGTATGGATTTATTAGACTTATAATTAAACAGCCGTATTGATCAAGCCAGAAAGAAACTACGAGGTCAAAATGAAATCGCTTTGTGTGAAGCCAAGAAACCAAGCGCAAGAACCCTAGCTAATTAACAAGGATAATGTTGCTTGCTCCTCAAGCGGAACACACGATGATGAACGGGCTCAAGGACGTGCGAGCGACACATATACTTACTATGTGCGCTGCACACCAGAAGCATGCATCTCGCCAGCATGTCAGACGAATCTCGGATGGATCGGGAAGCAACCAGAGGCCATGGAGAAGGCGGTTTTCACTCCATCGGCTACCTCTCATCAAGGTCATGGTCGCTGGTGCGTTGCTTCGTTGCAGTCAACGGAGTCTGCACGTGTCAGCTATCACGGTCACCATATCCAGCGCAAGCGCGTCACACCCGTCATAGTCACCATCGTAGGCGAGTCACCATGTCAGGCTCCTACGGCTACTCTTGCGGCAGCCGCGTTGAGGGGAGTAGCCTCCGGTTGGACGAGGTGGGTGTCGGAGACAGGGACGGCAGGGCGTGCACGTTGGCGACTCATAGGTTTCTCGGTGAGGACCGGAGGGGAAGGCGGGGGCAACTACGGTGAGCGGGAAGGGAATGGGGCGGACAGGCAGGAGGTTGGGTTGGTCGAGGAGTTCGCCTGCGGCGGCGGCGGGGGCGGCGCAAGGAACCCTAGTGCGTGTGAGGGCAATAGGGGAGAAAAGCCGCTCGCACGACTGTTTCTGTTTGACAGGCAAAACGTTTTTTTTCTATGGAGGAAGGTGAAAATCGGTGGAACCGGAATGGGAGGAGGTGGTGGGAGGTGGGACGAAGAAAAACCAGACGAAAATAAACCGTACCAGGCTACCAAGTGCTTCATTAGGAGTTGGTAATCTCTACTCCTAATGGAGGAGTTGGTAGCCTGGTATGGTTTATTTTCGTCCGGTTTTTCTTCGTCTCACCTCCCACCAGCCCCCCAATTAGTTTTTCGTCTCCTTCACATTAAAACCCCGAATCTTATTAAAGAGAAAATCTTATTCCATATCTTATTAAAGAGAAAATCTTATTCCGTGCTTACTTCAGCAAGTTCTGATTCATTTCAATCACGTAAATAATAGGTAATTAAGAATTCATAACTCACATCATATACGTGAGATCACCTTCCTAAATTATAGACGTAATTTTTCCTCGATAACCTTCCAAATCAAATTGAGATATTCCTCGATAACAAATCATTAATCCTGTGCATTATGTTATTTATTATTATTATTATCCTTATTATCTCCACTATTAATTGGCTATCATAAGTTTCGTAAACAACAAAAATAACGTATCTTTTACTTGTAGGCGTACGCATCCGCGCACTCCTACTGAGGGCCCTGCACGACACTATGGAGGATGTCATGGCCAGGCCTGACAACGGTGTGATACTCGAGAATGCCAAGGCATGCATCAGGCGTCGAGGACGACCGTGGCGGATTGTAGGTCGTCAGACCACCGCGTACATGTGTTCGTGGACACGTTCATATTATATTTCTTGTCATTAATACACAGAGTCAGACATATGCTACATTCTCAAATCAAGTATGTCCATTCAAATGTCAAGAAATTCGTTAAGGAGATGTGTCCTACAATACTCGATAGTCGTCGTCATTCGTAGCAACCATTCATAGATTTTTTTAGAAATCGAGCACTGAATCAATTTGAAAATCAATCCTTTAATGCAATTAATTAGCTAGACAATTAATTATGTATGCATTTAATTAGCTCCATTTAAATAGAAATTTATTTTTGCACCGAATCAATTTTGAAACCAAGTCATTAAGGCAATTAATGGTTTAGGTAGACACTTAATTAAGCCTACATATAACTAGGGGATGTTTGTTTATAGGAACTTATTGGTGTAGGGACTTAAAAAAGTCCCTTTTAGTCCCATCTAAACCAAACAGGGAGGACTGATAGGGACTTAAAGTGGGCATTTGGGACTTATGAAAAAAGACCCTGAGGGAGAGTCTTTTTGGGACTTTTAGTTGTAACATTGTCTTTTAGTCCATGTTTAGTCCCAGGAACCAAACAGGTAGTGACTTTTTAGGGATTAGCGACTTTTTGTTGGGACTAGAAAAAGTCCTAGCACTTATGAACCAAACAGGGCCTTAGAAGTAGAGATTTTTTCCCGATTAGGATAATTAGTTGATTTGATTGGCAGTTAATTAGGCATGCGAAGAATTAGGTAGTCTGTTAATTATTTGTATAATTAATAAGTTAAGTAAGCATTTCATCGTGTTGAATAATTTTGAAAGCGCTGGTCGGCAGGGACGATCAATAGGCTCTCAACAACATGGCCGAGCAGCACTTGCCAATATGGACAATGGTCACCATGGGCCCGCGACATGAACGACCTAGCGTTCACCAAGATGGATGACGAGTATGCTCTACAGGATGTTCAAACGTCGACGGTTGTGGAAATGTTCATGGATAAGGACAACACGACACTGCAGTGGCCAGATGGTTCATCCTATTGTTGAAAGGGAGAGTGCTCCAAGAATAAGTAGGAATAAAGAACTAAAGCGACCAAGTGGTCCATGGTGTTGGAGAAGGAAAGAGTGTTAAAAAAGCGAAACAAGAAAGAAAGAGTATTATAAAAATAAGTAGGAATGATAATTAAAACTGGCGAGGAAGGAGGAAGAAGAAGATGATGAGGCGTTGCTAACAAACGCGCTCATGTTGACGTGCTGCTGGTTGGGGCCACCAAAACGGGTTGGCGAAGAGATTAGAACTAGAAGATGTAGGGAAGGACGAGAAAGAGAAGAACATCAACTTTCCCTTCTAGCAGTGAATGATATCTGGGCTGGAGGTGGAGCTTATTGATGACTAGGAATACACTCAGGTTGTCACTTACCTTACATGTCATTGTGCATTGGCAAAGTTGAAAGGA